ACACATTTGCATTTAAACTACCAAAATACACCTAAAAGTTAATTTAAATTTACTGTAACTTTGTTAATTTTGCTTAAAATCTTTTTAAATTTGAGGATTGGTTAAAATCACACTTTTCATCAAACGCACTTAATAGACTACATTACTATTGCACATTCAATGTATTCTTGATTCCTCAGAATTTATCTTTGTACCGTGTGAATCATTGCCTTTATTGAATGATATTTTTTTTAAATATTTTTATTATTATATATTTGTTTATTTAGAAATATTACATTCTGTCACATCAAGGACATTTATAATAGTGATCAGAGAAAGCACACTCACACTCTATTTACAATAAAAAATAAAATAAATAATACAGAAACTTAATAATAATAAATACAATAAAATAAAATAAAAATAAATACAATAAAATAAAATAAATGTATATAAACAAAAGAATTAACCTAATCATACACACTCGGGCTTGAGTGGAGGATCTGGCCATTGCCAAAACTCCAATAGATGCTTATTTACAAAAGGTCTCTGGGCCACTGCCGCTTCAACCTTCGAGGAGGATTGTAAGGATGGGTGGTGCTGGATAGAGATTGTGCAAGGGGATTTGGATGATAGGTAAGGTTTTGGTGAAATTTGGAGAATTTTTCTGGAATAAGGTCTAGGACAAATGGGATATTAAGGTCATGGTGTAGGATTTTGTTATTTACATAGAACGGAGCATCAACTATTGTTCGAAGGACTTTAGATTGAAAGGATTGAATACGTTTGATGTTAGAAGATTAGGTTTTCAATATTAATTAATTATACAAATTAAATATCAATCTTCATTATTTTTACGACCAACACAGCGGTAGTTTTTATTTACATTTTTTTCATTATTGTAAGACAATCAATAATAACTAATAATAGAAGTGAGTGAATTAGACACTGAGCTGCTAAACTTAAGGCCTCGGGTTCAGAAGATGTCGAGTATTTTTTATATCGGCCATGGATTGAACTTGGGGTCGGGAGACCTTCCTCGGGCACACCCAGCCTCTATAAAGTGGTTACTCTTATTTAAATAATTAATTTAGGGGGAAAACCTGGCGGTTGAGCATTATCCTGGCCCTTAAGGATAACTTACTAACAAAGTACGAAACCCAAAAAAATTCACAAGTTGTAGTTGTACAGGTTTTTTTTTAATCAATAATAATACGTGTAGTTCTTTATTGAAATTTTATTTGATTTTGTGTAAATTAAACCATATTTGTATTATAATTTGTTTCAGACGATGAACAGAAAATATATTGAGTAATAATAAATTACTGAAACTGAAAATAATAAAATATTAATTAATTATACAAATAAAAAAACGATCTTAATAAATTTTAAAACAAACACAACATCAGCAAGGTAATCAATAGTTTATGTAAAAATTTATTTAATTACTTAAAAAAAATCATAATTTAATAATATGTTATTCTTTGAATTATTTTTGATTTTTTAAAAATCTTATTTAATATGCGTTAAATTGTAGTTTATTTAAAATGAAGGACAGAAAATTCTTAAAACAGAAAATAACAAAATATTGAAAATAATTTCAAATGATGAAGCTTGTTCTTAGTCTCAATATTTTAATGTTTAAATCACATAATTCTATTATACAGTATAATTCGTTTCCTTTCAATAGATAGTAGGCATAATAATTTACTTCTCATTCATTTAAAACCTGGTATGGCGCATAACACAACTTTCACTCACCACCTTACTTTGGTTAGATATCAATTCTAAATAAACTTAAAAAATATTACTCCAAATATAAATATATAGGACCTATGACAATTAGTAAAAAAATAATCCTACATATATGTCCTTTATCCTTTGAACTATTTATTTTTGGTGTGCTAAACCGATCAATAAAACTTCGGACATGAAAACATTGATTTTCTATTGAATAATAAGAATGTAAATATTATTATATTATATTATTAGTAACACTGATTAATAATTATTAGTGCTTCGTCATTCTTAGTTTTTCACATACTTACAAATTTTATTTTTGTAAAAAGTATGCTTGTGTTTATGTTGTTATTTTGATTAGTTTAGTTCTTTTGTTTATATTCATTTACATTTAGGTTTATTCATCTCTATTATTTGTTGTAAACAGAGTGTGAATATGCTCTCTGAACACTATTATAAATATCCTTAATTGTGACGGAGTACAATATTTCTTAATAAATAAGTTTAAACAAAAATCCATAAAGTATAAGCTTTCCCCCATTTTTTTTTTCAACCTCAAGGAAATATTTCTCATATTTTCTTTTTCGGTTATTTATCCAAATTTGCCATATTTTATATAAAATATAAATATATCTGTACATTTGTTTATTACTGATAATAATGAGAGACGTTTAGTTGTTTTAAATAAACAAAATTAAAGGTTTTTACAGGGAGAAATTCGGCATTAAAGCGTTACATTTCAATATGGGTTAGATTGTATGTGAGTCCGAACCATTTGAGAAATTAAAAAAGAATAATAAAATAAAGTACTTAATGAGTAAATCAATTATATTAAATGGCAATTTTGGCACGCTGATTTTAGCGAAAACGTTATCAACCATACCAGATATATACCTACCTTTCCTTTTAATTTATTTAGTATAGTACTCTCTTTTTTATAATAATATTTATAAAAACATATTATTCTGTCTCATGGACAATAATTATAGCGAGGTAAGACTACATTCACACGATATGTAAAGAAAATATAAAATAAACATAAGAAAAGTAACCACTAAGTAATAATCAAAAAGTATATACAGTAAATAAAAGTAAAATAACTTAAAGATAAGTAAATTTAAAAAAAAAACATACCTATTTTCACTATTTACTATCGGGTAAGGGAATTCAAAGCTTGTTCCTTCAACTATAGAGGAAAAACAGGACTACAGGAGATCTCTGTGCTACTCTTTTAACCACGTCACTGTTGCTAGAGTCAGTACACCTACCTTAAACTCATAATTTCAGTTTTACGTATACGGAAACACCTATTAGTAATAAGTTTACTAAATAATTAATAATTTAAAATATCTTTTCATTTATCTATTTATATAATTTAACAAATGTGCAACGCTAAATTTTTGCCAAAATGTATTATAATTATCAAATCATAATAGTACAATACATCCATATATAATTAAAAAAAATCAACACCAGACACCCTTCCTACATCTACAGTCTCCTACAGTTTAAACCCGTGGTCCACTCCCAGAAAACAAGATCCCGTGTTTCCGACCTTTATATCCCTTCCCATAGAACTAAGACGTTTGAATATTCCTTTATTGCCCGATCCACAGCCTTCTGGAATTCCTTGCCATCTGAAATCCGCCATGCCTCTTCCTTGTCCTCATTTAAATATCATCTCTACCAATTCCTTTTCACATCCCAAAATGACGTTATACAATAAAATAAATATTGCGAAACAGATTTTGACTGAGGTGAATGGTTGATAAAATTGATTGAGTTTTAATTTTAAAAATCAACCCATGCTTATTTTATTTTGTTTTCTTTTCATTTAAATAATGTTTTTTTTTATATTTCGTTTTTTCTAAAAATTTTATTTTATTTTCACTTGTTTTAATTTAATTTCACTGAAAATACTTTATATATTCTTTAATATTGATTAATGTAATTTTTGGCCAGATGTAGTTTTTATTGTTTTTTGTTCATATCTGTTATTCATAAGGGACCCTGTCCCAGAATTAAGTTTACTTTCTATTCTATTCTTTTCTAAAAAAAGTTTCAGAAAATACAACATTTTTTTTCTAAACTTTTTAAGTTTATTTAGTCGGTTAAGTTAGTTATTGCTGTAAAGAACTGTGACGAAGTTTTACACTTGTACCAGTTACCACTAAGTCACATCAACCGTCTATTCGGACAAACTCTCTTTCCAGGAAACCGTTCCTGCAGGAGTTGACAACCCATCTTTATTGCGGTAATTTCAGTAGATTACAAGTTGAAAAAAATGAATAAAAAGTAGAATTGTTGTTATAAAACTAATTATGCAAATGCTGTTTTTAAAGTTCAAATGTGATGAAGTAACTACAAAGTAAAAATATATGTGTATCGACCTTTCTGACCTCCAATATTCAATACCTAGGATTAAGCCTATTGATTTTTTGTTATTTATTAGCTTTTAAAGAGATCGCTATCTTTTCATTGGACCCAGAGTTCCCGAGATACTGAGGGTAAACACTAGATCCATGATTAATTGCACGCCATCTCGACTTTTTATTTATTTTTTCCTTGGTTTTTATTTTTATTTTCTATTTACTAAGAGCGGTGAGTTCATAAATTAATAACAAACTTCCCTTCCATGCCTAGTTTGATGTCTACGGACGTTGAACCCAATGGAAAACCCAATAATCAACACGGCTTGAAAGTCTGTTATATTCATTAAATAAAAACGTTGATTCGTTGATTACAACCGACGCTTCTAGAGACACTTGAATTAACAATTTAAATTAGTTCGTAGAACTATTCGTAACGCCAAAAGAATTCATATATTTTAGTTTATTTTGTCTTCCTTATTATACCATTAGATATAAATGTAAATAGAAAACGCCAACAGAGCTTTCTTCTCTCCTTCAAAACTATTTAAATCCCAAAAAATCTCAAATTATGGGTACACAATGCTATGATAAAGATTGTTCTGATATACAGGGTGTTTCGTAATTGCACGGAACTATTTTAGGTATGTGTTCACTAACACAAAATAAACAAAAAAAAATCATATTAACATATCTCAAACTCATTTATTGAACAGATATCAAAGGTTAAAAATTTATTATTTATTTACTACATTAAGACAGACTGTACAAAGTTGAACGTGTTTAATACGAAATAACAGGTTTTAATCACCTGATAAATAAATTAACGATAAGCAATGACAGTAGTTGCTCATCTGTTTGTCTTGTTCAGTGTGTTTTAGTATGAGTGAATAATGTGACTCGGTTCAATTTATGATTATCATGGGAGACTCCATAAATTTATTTATTTTGGCAGAACAAACAGACATGCTTTAAACTTATTTAGAAACAGTGCTGCTGCTGTTCGTAGATATCGTGAAAAATTTCCTAACTGAAGAATACCAAATCGTAAAACGTTTGGGGCCATTGAAAGACGCCTTATATATAATAGCGCGCTAAAACATATACGAGTAAACGCTGGTCGACAAAGATTTCGACGAACTGCAAACGTTGATGAACAAATACACGATGCTATTCCTACTACTTGTACCAGAAGATTATTACATCGTTTCGATGTTTCCTCATCCAGCGTATAGCGAACTTTACGCGAACAACAATTGTATCCATTTCATGTATCGAGTAAGCAAGATTTGTTACCACAAGATTATAACAAGCGCATATATTTCTTCCAGTGGTTAATTCGACAATGCACACGAAATCCTAACTTCCTGAACTGCATTTTGGTTACTGATGATTTTTCTTGACAAGAAACTGGATCCTTAATTTTCGAAATACTTGGGCTGAAGAAAACTCTCATACGACTACTCTTGGAGAATACCAACATACCTTTTCTTTAAATGTCTGGTGTGGTCTTCTAAGCGACAACATCATCGGCCAATTCTTTTTGCCACCTAGGCTGTCAGGTATATCTTGCTTGTATTTTTTGCAGAATAATCTTCATGAAGATATATACAGCTCTAAATGGACCTGTTAAATGGCCACCACGATCTCCGTATTTAGCGCCATTAGATTATTTTGTGTGGGGCTGGATGAAGTCTATGGTTTATTCTGCGGCAGTTGGCAAGCAAGAAGAACTAAGAAATCGGATCGTAGAAGCCGCATTAACTTTTTTTTTTTTTTTATAACATAACCCCCTACCCACTATTTCTGGCAAAAAGCCGCATTAACTATCAATCACCATCCTGATGCTATACGAAGAGCCAGAGAAGCATGGATTCGTCGTGCTGAATGTTGCATTTAACAAAACGGAGGGCCCTTTGAACAGTTACTCTAAATGTTGTAATAATAATAAATAAATAGTAATAATAAATAATAAATCTTTAATCTTTGATATCTGTTTAATAGGTGAGTTTGAGATATGTTAATATGGAGAACAAATACACGATGCTATTCCCACTACTAGTATCAAAAGATTATTACATCGTTTCGATGTGTCCTCTACCAGCAAATGGCGAACTTTACGCGAACAACAATTGTATCCATTTCAGGTATCGAGTAGGCAAGATTTGTTACCACAAGATTATAACAAGCGCAGAAATTTCTCCCAGTGGTTAATTCGACAATGCACACGAAATCCTAACTTCCTGAATGCTGAATTAATATTCCTGAATAATTTCAATGAATTAATATTGGTTAATATGAACTTTTTTGTTTATTTTGTGTCAGTTAAGAAATACCTAAAACAGTGCCGAGCAATTACGAAAACCCTGTATATTAGCTAGAGGATAACCAACACCCTATAGAGGGATATTGAACGATTTGACAAAAAGATCCTGTGGTCTGGGATCGATGTACTAACGTGTGGAGGAAAAAGTCCAATAATGAGCTGTTTACAGAAACTATTCAATAAATATCTAATGATATAGGAGGATAAGCAAGGAGGATAAGATGGGCACGTAGCTAAGTGAAATCCAAAGCAATTCATCAGAAAGCCTCTACACAAAAATGAATGCCTCAAAAGGCCACTTGGAAGGCCAAAAACTAGATGGAGAAATTGTATCAACAAAGATGCAATAAAGCTGCATGCAAAGTAATAGAATGAAATAGCCCGAGATAGAAAAAACGGGACGAGGTGGCAAAAGATCTATTAGGTTTGTAGAACAAACCAGAAAAAAAAATATATATATATTAAATATGTATATAATAATATAATATTAAGTGATAATTATTAAATATAAATGAGTTTTTCATAAGGAAAGAAATAGCATTAGATAGACAGAGATGAAAAAGACTGGATAAGGCGACGGAATATCTGCAAGGTGTGTAATGGCAAGCCAAAAAAAGTATTTAGCTAAATTTTTTTTTAATTATTTGAAAAACAATGTTGATTTATAATAGAACTTAAACTATTTATGACCGTATTTAAAATTGCTTCAGTTAAATTTAGTTAATATAGCCAACATCGATTCATTATCTAATCAACTTCAAATAAGAAATCCAATATACGAGAGTTGTGGCAAGTAATGGGGGGAAAAAATAAAAAAAGAAGAAAAAAATTCCTTTTTTCTGAACTAATCAAATATTTCCGATGAAACAATCGGTGTTTGTATTGGTGCTCTCATATTACTGAGGTATTTCGAAAAAAAAGCACTAATTTAATTTTTTTTCTTTCATTAGCTCATTTACGAAATATAAACAAAGGGAAAGTACTCCGATTGTGGAAAATTGTGTATATGAAAAAATGAGATTAAATTTTAGAATTGAATTTCTTTTTTTACACCTCCTCCCCCAAAAATCAATAAGCATATACATAATTTACATACCTAGTGGTTATGTAGATAAGTATAAAAAATAAATTTTACAATCATGTTTCTGTACGAATTTATTAAATTAAACTTAAACAAAAATAATTATGGTGGTGTTTAAGTTGTTATTTTGATTAGTTTAGCTTTTGTTTATATACATTTACTATTAGTATTATTTATTTGTCTGTATTATTTATTGTAAATAGAGTGTGAATGTGATCTCTGAACACTATTATAAATGCTCTTAATTTTGACAGATTTTAATATTTCTCAATATATAAGTTTAAAAAATAAAAAACAACAAAATTAACTCCATCATTAAGAACACATAATTATTGCCAAACCAAACTATCCATATTCTTAAAAACAGTATGAGATAATAATAACTATAAATGTAAGAAAAAAATGTCATAAACTTAAGGAAAACCAAAAAACTGAAATTATTAGATAAAATAGAACATGGAGAATTTAGTTTCGATGAAGGAAATTTATTTAGAAGTGCACCGATAAGAGAAATTTAGGATATTAAAAAAAAGAAAAAGAAAAAGATACTGATATTAAAAAAAACATTAAATTGTGAATATTATTAAACAATTATATTTGAAATAATGACAACTTGATAAAATATACAAAACACGGTCGGACACTATACTAAAAGTTCTTTATTGTACTATTCCTAAATAAATGAATCATGGTTATATACAATATATTACGTTTAACTGTCCATTTGTTTAATGATTTTTTGGTTGAATGATAATACGATATTAACTTTAAACTTATTTGATATTAAGTTTAGTTTAATAACATATAAATGCTAAGTTGGTATAATAAATTAAATCCTAAGGGTTTCGATATAAATTTAAGTACATATAACTGTTGTAACGCCATAATAAGTATATATTTTTCTTAATTTTTGGTTTACAATACAATTAAATAAAGGAACGAAGGAGGTGGGACGAATTTTTTGTGATTCACATTCACATAATACTTTTCTACGACTTTCCAAATCCTTTTTTTTCGATAAAATTCCATAAATGTTTGTAATAGTTGATTTTTTTAAATGTATAAAAATGAAATATTCAAATCCCAAAATAAATGACCTAATTATTTATTTTGATTTCGTTCATTTTAGTTTTAAAACGTTCTGAATTCAATATATCTATTATGTAATATTTAAAAGATAAGATAAATGGCGTTGCAATTGACTAGAAAAATATTTTGAAAACATCTAGTTTTGTACCATATAAATAAAAATTGCCCCGCTTTTGAACATGTTAATTTAAATTTTATTATTAAAACCCTTTGAGAATCGCTTGAAAGCTTACTATAATATAGTTCAAAGCCTAAAGAAAATGCATGTACGGATTTTAAAGTCATATAAAAACTTTTAACTGTCAAGATTTTTACCTGACTCGTCCCACTGTGCGTCAGTAACAATAAAAGGATAATAAAGACAATGAAGTTTATGGTGGCCAAAAATAATTCAAAGAATAAATAATAATTTTATATAATTTCTTTGTTTTTCTTACAGAGTAATAACGCCTATTAAAATATATATATATATATATATATATATATATATATATATATATATTTTAATTCTCCAGTTTATTTATTCTCAGCCAAATTTACACCAATTTTCAATATTGTCAAGTTAATGACTACACATCTCAATTACGACATTTCGTCACAATATTTTAGCGTCACATATATTAGAAATTTGACTGATAAATTAGAAAGAACATATATCAATATTATGTAAGCGAAATTAAATTTGCATGCAAACCAATTAATAAAATAGATACAATTTATTCCAAAACTAAAGATAAAGTACCTACCGATAAATTAACTAATATTGTTTATAAAATAAATTATAAGAATTGCAACAACAAATCATATTTTGGACAGACATCACAATGGTTTGAAAAAGGCTTAAACAACACAAACAAAATTGTAATTAAAAAAACACTAAAATTAAATTAGCTACTGGACTCTCTCAACATACTATGCAAACAAAACATGAATTTGATTTCAAAAACGCCAAAATCCTGCATAATGAAAGTAATACTAATAAACGTAGAATAAAGGAAGCAATATACATAACTAAAAACTTTAAAAACTCGGTAAATAATCATACAGACGTTGATAATATGAACACATTTTACGCGAGTTCAATTGAAAAAATCAAAATTTGAAATGAATTAGCTAATATTACTTAAAATAGGTCCGCATATAATATTGGGAAACATCATTGTATATGATTATAATAAATAGTCTTCCCCTACTCCTATAAGAATAACCGGTCACTGAATAGAAATGAGATCGATGACATGTGGATGACACATGATAAGGTAATTTTAACATATTTGAATCGTTTAATAAGAAAGAATTGAGTAATAATGATGTTATAAAATAATTAAAGGTGGACATGACAAGAATAAAACAGTTTAGTATGAGTAGACGCATGCAATTCGCATAAGTGAAATGGGAAGGTACATGATGGGTATTTATGTATATAAAAAATCTTTATATTTTGAATTATGTAAAGTTTGGATATGATTGTAAATTTGAAAAAAATCTTTTATGCTTGAAAATGGCTCGAAGAGCCGAAACATAGGAATTGAGATGTGTAGTCATTAACTTGACAATATTAAAAATTGGTACAAATTTGGCTGAGAATAAATAAACTGGAGATTTCAAGAAGAGCTTTCTGTTCACCACACAAACGGACTTTCCAGTTTACGAAATAATACGAAATTCTGGAAAAAGCACACAACCATAATTTCTCAGCAGACATACAAAGAACTTTAAACTCAACTAATTACCCTTTATACGGAATGCTATGCAGTTACAAAGCTCCCGATCACGAAGCGTGCCTTACATTTAAAGTTCATATAAAGAAATTGAGACGTGTTAGTCAATTAAGAGTTGCAAATCCAGAACAAATCAGAATCTATGCGAAAACCACAACTTTTTCGATTGAGTCTCAAGAAATTTGTATATTACGCAGTCAATTTATCAACAATAGTCTACATCACATTCTCCTTCACTGCCCAGCATACAATGAATATAGACAAAAATTCCTCCATAACTTCATCTCAGAATCTTCTGATAACCACAACATCGAAATTATATTGAATATCGACTGTATAGATAAAGTAAACAAAGTTTACTATTATATGATGGGAGTAAACAAAGTACATTCACAAAATTGTTGATTATAGCCCATGTTCTATTAAGTGTTTGTTTTTAGTTCATGTTAAAAATAATATTTTGTTTGCATATATAAATATTTTTATTTTTTATTGTTCTATCATAGTAACAGGTTCATTTAGCTATCATTATGCAGTCATCGTTTTATGTTTTTAATTTTTGTTGTTTTTCATGCTTTGTAAAACCCATTATAAACGGAAAATATTGTAAAGTTTATTTATATTTAAATGATATGTATGTAACTTGTAAAACTATTTTATTCTACAATAGCCAAGCTAGGCTCTATTTGTTTGGGGAACCCCCCAAAAACAAATAAAAATTTCTATCTATCTATCTAAATAAACTGGAGAATAAATAATACGCACCGAGGAGAAAGAGTGAAATCTTGAGAATATATATATATATATATATATATATATATATATATATATATATATATATATATATATATATATATATATATATGTATATATATTAATACAAAATTGAATCATTAATGCTGCTTTTCATCTTGTTAATTTTAGGATTTTTTTAAATTACATTATTATATATATATTTTTTAAAATATTATGAAAAACCTGAGTATTGAAATAATTTTAACTCTGAATACTCGATGACCCCTCCTGAAGAGCATGGTGTGTGGTTACAGGTCTGCAATGAGCTGAAATGTTCCCGGTGCGAATCCCAGGGGGCGTGCTCCCCGGCGCAGTGCGGGCCCAGCAGCAGCAGGCCAAGGATGAGAGCGAGAAGCAGAAATGCCAGGTCCGGCTGGAGGTTAAACCCTTCACCCGGATGTCCGTCAACAAGCAGGAGACCAGGTCTCAGCTGGTCAAAGAGTATGGCTTCCAGCCGAAGAGGAAGGCTTCTGTCGAAGATGGTTCTGTTTTACCCAACAAGTTCGAACCCTTTCCCAGGTCACTCTACGGGAAACCACTCGAGGAGATTGACAACTTCATCTATGACGAGGTAAGTGGAAATATTATTTTTTATATGCTATAATTTCAGGCTCGGCTATCTCCATGTTTAGAAGACATTGTTGTAATATAAGCAGATGTATCAACATTTTTTTTTTATTCAACAGTATTTTACATATCGGTATAATCATGTTTATTAGATCAATAACTAATATATTTATTGGCTTAAATATTTAATGTAGGCATGGGATTCTTGCCTAATTGGTGTTAGTTGAGGTTATCGATGTTACATACCATACACATGGCCAATGGTATACAATTTTTTTTTTTTTTTTTTTAACTTATTTATTGAAAAATATTACAATCTGTCTCTAGGACATTTATAATAGAGTTCACAGATCACATTTACACTCTATGTACAATAAATAAAATAAATTATACAGAAAAATAATATATATATACAATAAATAAGAATAAAATAACCTAAAAATAAATAAATAAAAAGAACACATACACACCTATATAGTATACAAAATTATATAAACTCACAAATATATCAAATATAACTAGATTATAAATACAAATTATAAATACAAATTACATATTACAAATACAAATTATAAATACAAATATAAGCAGATATATCAACATTTTTTTTTATTCAACAGTATTTTACATATCGGTATTATCATGTTTATTAGACCAATAGCTAATATATTTATTGGCTTAAATACTTAATATAGGCATGCGTATCTGGCCCAATTAGTGTTAGTTTAGGCTAGTGATGTTACGTACTATACACATGTTTAATGGTATACATAATCAAAAATTATATAAACTCACAAATAATAATAATAATAAGCTTTATTGACATCGATTGGTTTGACAAATGCCTCTCCCTTAAGGAAAATTTTTAACGGAGTTTGTTCAATTCCAATGTTCATATTATCACTTCTTTTAAAATATATGTACAAAAAAAAAAGATATGATTTTCTTTTATAAAATAACAATGTAAGGCATAAGATAAAAGCATAAGCCATATAGCAAACAAAACAGAGCCTTGAAAAACCAACGAAAAATAAAACAAGACAAATAAACTTATAATAATAACAGATAAGGATGTAATAATGGAATAATTTTATTAAAATAGGTTAATATTTAATATTAACATTTAAATACTGTTTACACTTAGCAATAGGTCAAATAAAGCTATATATAAATAGATGGGATGCTTAAAACTAATTCTGATGTATATAGCGTATATAATGCTAAGGGGTAGTATTATTAATAAAATCAAAAACAGGAATGAGGAAGTAAAATATATTAATCAATTGTTCAAGGCTTTTAATATTCACGATAATTTCTAACGTCTAATCTTCTTAGTATCGATATAGACGTGGAGGTATTTTTTTCTAAAGGTGTCAAGAAAACAACATTCCAGCAGTAAGAGTTTCGAATTATCATTACTAAATCTACAACACCATTTGAAAAACTCCTCTATTCTAGTAATATGGTTAAAACTCTTATGGTTTAAATTGAATTAGTCTTAACTGCTTCCTCTTAATTGACTTACTGTCCTTTTTTTTTTTTCATTGAATTATAAGTATTCTTTTGGTTCGTTGAATGGGTAGCTACAGATACATCTTCTATTAAGATTATTGCAATTGGAATTTAAAGCAAGTTCAATATATACACAATTGTTAGATACTCTTTCGAGAAATGAATACTTTTTTCTAAAATTATGTTTTTTATTAATGATTAATGTATTCGGATTGAAGAAATCATTGAAAAATTCTTCCAAAAAATGAGAAATGGCAAAATTTTTAACTGGTTAGACCCAATTAAACATATTGATTAATCTAAATCCATACTATTAATTAAGCAAATATAATAATAATGCTTTATTTATTCTGGGACGAGTCCCTTTAGAATAATACAGAAAGATAAAAATGTGGGCTAAGGAGCCTCAGAGATACATAAACAAGAATATAGTTTCATTAAATAGTCAAAATAAAAAAATAATAAAACAAATTATAAGTTACTCTCTAATTTAAATCAGTTAATAATAAAAAATAAAAAATTGAAAATAAACATGAAGCAAAAGAAATTTTTTTAACAATCTTTTTTTAAACTTATCCTATCAGTTAATAAGTTTTTTTTTCGAATAAAGAAAAGTTTCAAGTTAATCTTCCGGTGATAGTTTTTATCTTACTGGTGGAAGTTTGTAGACTGTTCTACATATAATGAATGATAGATCAATTATAACTAAGGAAATTTATTTTTAGTTTTTTTATTGCCTACGTTTCAGCCCAAACCTGTACGTCATCAACAGATCTGAAAAATTCATAACGATGCAAAAATGATAAAACATGTAATAATTAATGAATATAGAACCAGTGAAACTACTTGTTTCGATATCAGTTAATATCAGTTATTTGAATCTAAACAATAGATATTTGATATTATCACAGAAGTGGATAAATGATAATAGTAAATTTACGTATGATAATAGTAAAATTATGTATGATAAAAATAAATTTACGTATGACAATAGTGAAGTTACATATGATAATAAAAAAGTTACGTAAGATAATAGTAAAGTTACCATTACATTCATATTATTTTCGACCACTTGTTACTACTTTATTATTAGACACTAATATCTATTGCATTGACCAAATAATCTAATATTACTCAGTTTTTTTGGTTGTGTATTTTTTATCTCTTTTATTATTTTAGTACTTCTGATGTTATAAGAGCCATTGTTGTGACCCACAAATTTAGGTGGAAAAATAAGGCAATAAGAAAACTCACGATGAATATATTACTGATTATTAATCACCAAAATTTTATTTATATGATGAACACTAAAAAGGAGATTTGATTACTGGTTACATCCTCCATGTCTATTATCATCAGGACCACTCTACGTGTAGTATTTTTATAATATGTAAATATATTATATTAGTTATGATAAATAATTGAATAATTAAAAGAAAAATTATAACACTTGAGATAAATATTAAAAAAAGAAATATGGATAACAACATAATGCAAAATAAATACACAAAAAAAAAAATCAAAATAAATAACAAAACAAGTAAAACAACTATAAAGCAACTACAGTTATATATTTAACAAATATAACTATCAGGAATGACACTTAAATAAAATATATTGTAAAATTGGTATTTATTAACATACTATTAATTATGCTTCAATTATTTACAACTTTTTTACTGGTTTATTTTAGGCTAAATTGTATTTATTTGATGGTAAATGATAATCCGAATTTGATACCATCAATTTCTTATTTTCCATTGTATTTTTTTTTCAATCTGCTGTTAATATACATATTTGTGTGTGTATATATATATATATATATATATTTTTTTTTTTTAATTAATATTTTTTATATTATATTCATATTGGTCAATGCAATAAATCTCACTAAGCTTGATGTGCATTATAAAATTAGTTTAATTTTCTTATGAGATATATAGCTTATTAGTTAAAAATGACCTTTGCTTATTTTATGAATTGTGATCAAGTGGGTCCAGTTGAAAATTATAACTATCAGCTTGAAGTTTTTCTCATCTATTATTCTCCAGACGAAAACAACATAACTGAATGCTTATATAAAATATTTTTTAATTACCAATTATGTAAATTATTATGCACAGGATGAATTATTAGAGGATTGTGTCAGAATCATAATTATGTATTGGAAACTCTAATACTGGCACGTTTTCTTGTTATTTCTGAAACAAAAAAAATTCTCGAGAAAACTCCTTCTAAGTAATATTGTCTTCCAAGAATCACCGTCAATAGCTCTCTTTATTTTATTTTTTTGCTTTTTACATCAAGGATAATTTAAAAATTCATCAGGTAAATGTAGTTTATTTTCTTAAATTTCTTGATAAATATTCCTGGAATAATTAGAGAAGTAGAAAGAGAAATAATCGCTCTGAAAGGATTATCAACCTTGTACTTCGTGGCTTGTGTTGTCTAAGTGATTTTTTTAATTAAGTATGGGGTGACTTATTTTCTTTTTCCAGTTACGAATTCGTTCCGAATAATTATGTTAAAATTATTGAAGGAAGTTAGTCAGCTGTTCTAATAATCATGGGTGATAGATAGTCTGGCCGCAGTCAGTTTTTAAGATTTTTTTTTGTCAACGTTTCAGCCCAAGGCATCATTGAGGCTGAAAATTTTTAATATCAGAAATTTAATAAGATATAACAGATGATATTTAATAATTATAAATAGTGATTTATGAGCAATAATTATATAATAATAACTTTTTTTCTTATTGAATATTAGTATATTCTGCCACATTAAAGGGTATTAATATTAAGGCTAGAAATAATAACTAAGATAGAAATAATAAATTAAAATAAATATAGAAAAATAAAATAAGTAAATTAGTATGTCTGTGTACAAAAAAGTGAAATAATAGATAAAAGCTAAATGAAATTAAAGTTAATAAAACACATTCACACCTATACACAAGATTTACATTCACCCAGAGGACTCTGAGTCATGCTTTATCCTCCAATGTGGAAGCCAAGGCAGGACTCCAGGAGATCCCAGTGCTTCTCTCCCAGCCGCGTCACTGGTATTGGAAGCCAGTGCAAACTGAAGGAGAGCACTACAGCAACAGACACTCAGGACCTGAGAAGAGAATCTGGCCATTGCCAGAACTCCAATATATAAATATTTACAGAAGGTCGCGGGGCCACTGCCGTTTTAACCTCTGGGGAGGATTGTAGGGATGGCTGGAGCTAGATAGGGATTGTGCTACAGGATTTGGATGTTGAGTGAGGTTCTGGTGAAATTTGGAAAATTTGTCTGGGATTAGGTCAAGAACAAATGCAATATGAAGGATATGGAGGGTTTTATTGGATACATAGAAGGGAGCATCGACTAATAATAACTAATGTAGAATAATGTCATCCCATGATGACCTAGGCAAATGGAATACGTAATCATTATTAACTATTAACTGTTATATGATATTATAACTATAGCTTGGGTTGAAAAAACGTTGGCAATAAAAATCTTAAGAATTGATCATCTATCATCCACAATTCTGTTGAAAACGCATTTTAAGCAGTAAATGTTCAGAATGATTAGGCGGTGTTCATGGATCAATGTATTTTTTGAAATTTGAAGAACTCACAATTAGTAAATGAAAAATGACGACGTTATCCTCGCTTTGGGACCATTATTCCAAACAATGCAGAATCTTCTACTTAGATACACAATAATTATTTTAGGAATCCGTGAACGAGTGAGAAAAATGATCGTTGGTTTAGATGCACATCATATAACGAATACCACAAATCAATGGCAGAGGGTGCTGCCATTTTAACACCAAAAGATATAAATCTTTCCCTCAAAAAATAAGTAATTCATAGCTGATATGTGAATTGAGAGTCCACCAAATAAATTAAAAGATATAAAAAAAAAACAGTAAAGCCGTGGTTAACATTTAATCGCCTTATCCGCAGAGAAGAAGTTGTCTTAACCAGACTAAGAATAGGCGACACCAACTTTAACCATTCATATCTCCTTAGCAGGCAGCCACAACCATGATGTCAACACTGTAACAATGCACTTACAGTCAGCCACATGTTCTTTTACATATCAAATCTAAATAGTCTAGAAGAGTGCTACCATTGGGTAGTTACTCAGCAAGTGTATTCATGTCATTATATCTATTATGTCCAAATTTACTTGATGTATTTATGTAATACAGTTGTAAATTAAATTAAATTAATGTCATTAAAAAAAAAATAGTCTAGAACTTACACCTCCAGTAACAAACATTTTAAGTGATGACGAAGACATTATAAAGTTAGTGTTAGATTTCATAAAATCAAACAATTCGTAAAATAAAACTTAAAATTGTTTAATAATTTAATCCAAAGATAAACAAGATTAATTTTCGGGCGTTGATGGCCTGGATGTTTTACGCCCTAGAAATCCCAACAAAAAAAAAACACAAATCAATGGAATTGGTCCAATATAAAGAATTAACTACCTCTAAACTGACAGAATGCTTACAAGTGGCACAATGTTACCAATAATTTAATAACTTATTGAATTTATTTATTCCTAAATTTAAAAAATAAAATAAATTCTCGGTTGCCCATGAAGCTCAGTGTATAGTATAGACACTTCGACAGAGGTGTAAAAATCTCTGTTTCACTAACGGGCAAGAACAGAGGAAGATAAATTGGTAGATTTGCTGAGGCGTGGAACACAACATTCCGTTTGACGGAACCCTTTGTCAGCAATCTATCTTGGAAAGGGATCAACAAGCAATCTAGGGTATGTGCTTCTCACACGAATGCTAAATTTCTTCCTGTTCTGTTACAAGGAACGGGACACCTTTTCTTTTTTTTTTTTTTTTCGAAAATTGAAATAAGGAGAATATTTTTTTTTAATTATTTTTATTAAGAAGCGTTCTGTCTCAATAAGGATAATGGTTATAGTGAGAAAAAGTCCATTCACGCCATATTAACTGAAAACATAAATAAATAAAAACGGAAACTAAATAATGACTTAAACCTAAGACGACACACTGGGGTGTAACGTCCCAAAACATTTTAATTATTAATTTACTTTTATACAGGGTTTCTCAGGGCCAAGCGGCCAAATTGCAAAAATTAACTGAGGACCTCAAAATAAGAACAAAATTTCCTCTGATGTTATGTCCGCAAACGCTTTGTTTAGGAGATATTCTCATCTACAGATTTATGTTGTTATGAACAATATACGTTATATGAAATAAATACAACCTATTCATTTGTTTTAACTACTTTATTAATTAAATGTCATTAACATTCATATTAAATGTTATTTCGTATCCAATCCTTACAATCCAAAATCCTTCGGAAAATCCTGAATGCTCCTTACTTTGTCACCAATAAAATAATCCATAATGACCTTGATGTTCCTTATGTTTTCGATTTGGCCCAATCCAGATACCAATCCTTCCATAATAAACTTCAGAACCATCCGAATCTTCTCGTCTCTAACCTTCCTTGCTTCCTCTTCTATTCCTGATAACCCTCCGAGGCGTCTGAAAAGAAGATGGCCTCGAGATCTCTTATTGTAAATACATTTTAGTTTTAGAGTGCTGCCAGTGGGTAGTTTCTCAACAAGTCATTTCATGTTATTATTTTCTGTTATCAAATTTACTTAATGTATTTAATTTTTTTAATACAGTTGTAAATATCATGAATAAATAAAAAAAAAATGTTATTTAAAGTGAAGGTATGTCCTCAAATGCTTTGTTTAGAGGATGTATTAGATAGTAATACTAATATGGCCTTTTATCCCTAACTCTATAAAAACTATGGGCAATATAAGGATTAATACTATTTGGAATTAATAACATTGATCAGTTTGTAAGAGTCTTTCGCAGATTACTCATCATTATGTCTTTCATTTATACTAATGGTAATAGGCTGAAATGGTGTTTGTATGCGATTTTTGCAATGGTAATTCAAATGCTGCAAGTCTTGAATATGCCAGGCGATTTCCGATTAGAAGATTACCAAACAAGTCTATCTTTAGCTCCACCTTTCAACGTCTTAGAGAAACTGGTACATTTGCTATAATATCACGCGCTGATGGTAGTTTTGCCCCTTTATGAATAAAGAATAAACGAAGAAAGGAGAGTGACCATATTAAAATATTTTGATGATAATACATCTGGCAGTGTACAAAGAGCTGGAGCAGAATTAAATCTTCCGCAAACTACAGTATGGAGAACTCTCATTGCTGATGGACTTCACCCATATCATTATCAATGAGTACAAAATTTATTACCGCAAGATTTTCAGCAAAGAAGAAATTTTTCAGATTGGTGCTTAAATAAAAGTTGAGCATAATCCACAATTTTCAGGAAAAATTCTCTGAACGGATGAAGCTACTTTTACAAGAACTCAATCATCTCTTGTCGCAGGAAAATCCTCATGCAATACGATGTGTGGTTGGTGATAATAGACAATATTTGAATTGGTCCGCATATCTTTCCGCCTCTACTCAATGCGGGCACATTTCCGGAATTTCTTAGTAATAATTACTATGATTTAGTTGAACATATTCCACTACAACTTAGAAGGGACATGTGGCTTCAATTAGATGAGATCCACGACAGTGGCTAAATGTTAATTATCCCAATCGATGGTTGGCCGTGCATTACCAGTGGCTACACGCTCTCCAGATCTGACACCATTGGATTTTTTTGTTTGGAATGACATTAAACAAAAAGTCTATGCAAGTCCGATCAATGACCTTAATTCCTTACGAAACTGTTACTCAATCTCCACTGGGTTTAGCCCCAGTGACGCGGTTGAGAGAGAATTGCAGGGATCTAATGGAGTCATGCTTTCCTTCAGTTGGAGGGACAAGTCTGGTTTGGAGTTCTCTCGCCAGATTGTAAATATTGTATATAGGTATATATGTGTTCTTTTAATTCATTTACTTTTAGGTTATTTTATTTTTATTTATTGTATATATATTATTTTTCTGTATGATTTATTTTATTTACAGTACATAGAGTGTGAATGTGATCTGTGAACACTATTATAAATTTCCTTGAGACAGATTGTAATATTTGTCAATAAATAAGCTTAAAAAAAAATTCCTTACAAAGAAGGATAATTGAATCTTCTGAAACAATAACACATATCCAGTGCCGTACTGCCATTGCTGCTGATGAAGAATGATGCCGAGCTAGTCTTAATGCTCAAGGAAATCACTTTGAACAACATTTAATAAGAATTTTATGTTTATGTTTAATTAATAAATTTAGGTCGTACACTGGTGTACATACAAATTTCAGACTAAAACTTTTAACACATTTCTATTTAGGCGAACGTTTCTGATTGAATTGGATTATGATTGTCCAAAATAGTCCAAAATTGAGGGAATACATAGTGTAATAGTAAAAAAACAAAACAATTAAAACATACCTATGCTGTTCGATAATAAGAGACAGAACGAACTAACTCATCTTCAAAATATGAAAGATTTGACAAGTCATTAGTTAGTTATTTTTTTAAGTGCTGAATTGGCAGCGCCCAAGATTATTTGTGTGTGTGTTTTTATCTATTGGCATCTTACCAAATGGTACAAACACGTTTGCACGTTAAGCTCTTCATAATCTTGAGCTCATTTTTAGACTTTTGCCCCGTTAGGCTCGCAATAGGACACAATGTGCGATGTATGTTTTGGGAAAACTCGAAGTGGGTCCCGAAACTTTTCCTTTTCCTAACCACGACCTAATCGTTCAATGGTTAAAGGGAGGCACTTTCCGTTCAAGAAACTTTTCTAATCATAAACTGGGCTCACAACACAATGATTTTCGTGGTAGAGGTTTTTATTACTTTATTGTTTTGTTTTTTCTATTAACCGATTAAAAGTATTCTATTAACTGTATTAAAAGTATTCTCAATTTTTTAATCAAGGAATGTTTATTAACTATACAAGAGCGTTACCTTATCTGAATGAAACGATTTAATCAAGCCTATTAATATATGTTGTTCTTCAATCCACTCAGTATTACGTATTCAATCCAGAGCTTAAATTTATTAAGGGGTTGATTTACATTTTTCATTACGTAAACCCACCACCGTTTTTACTACAGTTTTCCTTCATTCATGGAATTCTATTTTAACATTTTCTCAATCTGCTGGAGTTCCTCAATGTAGTATCATTGGTCCTATCCTTTACACAGTTTATACAGCTGATATCCCAACCCATCCTAACACTGTCATCACAACGTATGCTGATGACACATGTATCCTGTCAGTTAATAATGATCCAACAATTGCATCCCAAACTCTTCAAGAATCACAAACCTTGAAGAATGGTGTCAAAACTGGAGGATGAAAATAAATTCCAATAAATCCAATCAAATCACTTTTACCCTTCGTCGTAAACAAATGCCTTGCTGTTCTATAGTATCCTTTAATAACACCCCACTTATCCATGTAGAACAAATCCGATACCTAGGACTCCAGCTGGACAAACGTCTCACTTGGAATCCTCATGAAATGACAAGAAACTGCTTTCCGTTTCCGTTTCCGCTTACTCCAACACTTACTGGACAAACGCTCTAAACTTCCAATGAATTACAAACGACTCATATACATGACTATAATAAGACCTATTTGGACTTATGGAGTTGAGCTATGGGGCTCCACTAAACCATCAAATTCCTCTCGTATCCAATCTTTACAATTCGAAATCCTTCGTAAAATCCTCAATGCTCCTTACTTTGTCAAAAATAAAATAATCCATAAAGACCTCAATGTTCCATATGTTTCCGATTTGGCCAAATCCAGATACCTATCCTTCCATAATAAACTTCATAACCATCCGAATCCTCTTGTTTCTAACCTTGCTTCCTCTTCGATTCCTGATAACCCTCCGAGGCGTCTGAAAAGAAGATGGCCTCGTGATCTTCTCATGTAGACAAATTATTAGAGTGCTACCAATGGGTAGTTTCTCAACAAGCGTGTTTCATGTGATAATATTCCTGTGTACACATTTACTTGATGTATTCATAATAATACAGTTGTAAATATCATAATAAAAGTATAAAAAAAAATCAACCTTTTTTTTGGGAGGGAGGATATGGGAAAAATTAATTTATGTCCGGGGTGAGATTTTATTTTCAAACCTTGATAACTTTTCGGCAATGTTTACAGGAGCCCAAGGCCGACATATAAGACTTAAGCCACATCGGGACGAATTTCATCTCGCGAATTTCTCGTGCTCCGTTCTTTTATGAGCTGGGGTTTTATGGGCTACCTTTTATGTGGCCTCCCCAAGGGTAAAGGTTAGTCGGAAGTTCGGAACGTAATTTTCAGTTCCGAGATTTCAAGAATTTTACGACGAAATCCTTCTAGGCCACCAACGCTTTCAAAGCACATATTGAGAAGGACCGGTGGTGGGATAAAAGCTCTTTTAGCATTCCTGATATATTCACTAGCCTAGGGTAAAAAGGACCTCTTCTGCTTGTGCCAACTCAGCTTACCAAACCTTCCACTTTTATTTTGGATTTTACTAATACTTTTAATGTATGTCTTTATACTTTCCTGAACGTCAGATTAAAAGCAAAATTAAAAAAAAAAAAAACTCCCGAAATTTCTTTTCTTTAAAGTGAATATGTGGAATATTATAAATTTTTTCTTATTACTAACCAATATATGAAATCCAATTTTTCAACAGAAAAGCATGTTTCAAGGTTCCCTTTATTCAAATGACCAAGTCTTGCAAATGTACGTGTGTTTTTATACAGGGTGTCCCGTAAGTAGAGTGAAATATTTAAATGAGTGATAGCAGACCTCATCAAGAACTAAAAAAAAGTTCATATAAAAAATGCACCGATTTTCAGCAGACAAGTAGAAAATACAAGTTTTGTGTTTTTTTAAGAGAATCATGCTTTTTGTTGAATAGGAAGCGATAACTAAAGAAATGTTTAATTTGAATACTTAAAAACTACTTTACTGGAAACTAGACAAAATTTTCATTAATCAGAAAGGGAAATTGCCATTATTAAAACCATTTAAAGAGAACAATTGAGCGACTAAACTGAGCTATGTTTTTAAAAAAATCATAAATTATTGCTATTTTTTTCTATCAACATCCAACTATACTACAGTTACCTCACTTTTAGAAAAAATACTTCCTTTCATAAGATTTAAGTTTATATTAATTAAATTGAGGTTTATTAGGAAAAAATTTAGATTCATCTCAAGTTGTGAAAATAAATCATGTGATTTTCTATCCAATTAAAAGTGCCCGTGTTTTCGGAAAAAATGACCACAATTGACTGTTGAAAAGCTTTTATATCTTGTTTTTCCATGAAATGGAATGTATTGTAAAAGAAAAAATTGCCTGAATACACATTGTATTTATTAAATAAAAAATTTAAAATGACGATATTTTAAACATTTTTCATATAAAGTGGTTATGAAAATTGATCTTTTCTCCCAGATTTCTATCATAGGAATTAAACCGAGTTTATCAGTGACAAACATAATGTTTCTAGTCCTAAAATTCTAAAACTAAGTCTAAAATAAAGAAACTCACTATTGCTTCAATTATTTTCATAGAAACCTGAATATTACGGCTAGAAACATAAAGGTTGTAACTGATAAATACGGGTCAATTCCTATGATAGAAATCTGGGAGAAAAACACAATTTCATAACCACTTTACATGAAAAATGTTTAAAATATCGTCCTTTTGAATTTTTTATTTAATAAATAAAATGTGTATTCAGGCAATTTTTTGTTTTATAATACATTCCTGATCATGAAAAAACAAGACATAAAAGCTTTTCAACAGTTAATTGTAGTCATTATTTTCCGAAAACACGAGCACTTTTAAGAGACCTTTGGTTCGATCAGCCATGAAGAAGGCCTGAACTTCAGGCCGAAACGTCGGAAAACGTAAAAATAAATATTATTTATTTTTGATATTTTTTATTTTGGCTGATCACCCCAACCAAACTTCTCTTTAATTTTGTTTAACTAAATTAATTATTGAAATCGTTACCAAGTAGAATGTTTAAAAGGTAACCTGAAATTTAGTCGTTTTATTTACTCAAATAAAAATTGTTTAGATGTCTAATCAACATTTCATTTCAAGATTAAATCGTAGATTACGTGGAGAGAAATGCTACTTTCATTTGTTCTGTACAATGTGCTATATGGGACATACAGAATGCCTAAGAATATTTGGGTATGTTTCGGTAAGGAAGTATAGTTAAATAAAAATATATACTTTTTTTGAAATAATTTACTAAACCCTTATCATTGTTTCTGTACTTTAAATTTAATTTTACAGCGACTAGAATGAGAGATTTACTGTATATATTCTTTAATATCGAAAATCTTAATTGGGGTATCACATGTTTTTTTTTTGTTACGCAGTATCGCTTTTACTCGCTTAAGACGATAAAGATGAACACTGAGATCTAACTAAGGATAACAAGCCTGGCTGCTAATCCTTTATCCTTGTATCGGAATCCCAAGTTGATCCTAGATTAATTCTCCAGCC